TTCAATTTTTTTTTATAATCTGACAACAATAACGGGCACTATGCATGAAGAACTTTATGCATTTTTAAGCTCATCTACAGCTTAAGTCAGCAAGTATTTACAGAATCGACAAAGCCTCGACAGAAATGAAAAAGTGCTAGATGTACTGACAGTCTCACTTCCTTTTAATCTGATCGTGTTAATAATATTTGGTGAAGACTCCAGATTATGAAGCTCTTCGGAACACAGTTTTATCCATCTTTATTTATCCTTTATTATGTTCAGACATCCTTCTTATTACGTAGAAGTATGGTAAGAGTAAGTCAATACTGATTAATCAATGCAGGAATTGTGACCATCGAGGACAAGGGTTTCGAGTGCATCCTTCATCTTCGCCTGATCTCGCCCCTTCTGACTACCATAACTTCCGGTCACTCAAGGAGGCGACGAGTGGTGGAAATATTTTCCGATCCGACGAAGAAATGTAACACGCAGTGCACGAGTGGCTACGCAGGAGGCCACAGGAATTTTTAAGAGGAATCTGGGCATTTATGGAGCGCTGAAGGAAATGTATTGAACGCAACGGCGACTAGATTGAAAAATGCCTAACTATTTGCTAAATTTAAGTTGTAAAAATATTATTTTTTATTTGGCTCGTCCTAGTTGATTTTATTCCTGAAAGTTCTAAAATAAGCAGTGCTTTTGTGCTTCACGTCTTATATTGTCCATACCAAGTCCTTTAATTTTAACTGCTTTCTTCAACCGCTTACTGATTAATCAATGCAGGAATTGTAACCATCGAGGACAAGGGTTTCGAGTGCATCCTTCATCTTCGCCTGATCTCGCCCCTTCTGACTACCATAACTTCCGGTCACTCAAGGAGGCGACGAGTGGTGGAAATATTTTCCGATCCGACGAAGAAATGTAACACGCAGTGCACGAGTGGCTACGCAGGAGGCCACAGGAATTTTTAAGAGGAATCTGGGCATTTATGGAGCGCTGAAGGAAATGTATTGAACGCAACGGCGACTAGATTGAAAAATGCCTAAGTATTTGCTAAATTTAAGTTGTACAAATATTATTTTTTATTTGGCCCGTCCTAGTTGATTTTATTCCTGAAAGTTCTAAAATAAGCAGTGCTTTTGTGCTTCACGTCTTATATTGTCCATACCAAGTCCTTTAATTTTAACTGCTTTCTTCAACCGCTTAAATTTAGGCTGAATCTTATCAAATAAACATGATCATTGTTCTTAAAACCGTGGTTTAAGAAGCTTTAATTTTGTTATGTTGATTCTTTTGTTCCATAGTGGACCAGGAAACGTACGAACGCTGTACATCAGTGGGCTCTAGCGGTTACAATGCATTTCGGTATCCAGAGAGACAGACCAAAGCCCAAAATGTAAACTTGTAAACTATAAATCATTTACAGCGGAATGAAGGTCAGTGAGAGATGAAACCTTCCGCGAGAGAGAAAGGAGGGAACTAAATATAACCAGTGGCTTAAATGCAACAAATATTCACTCGTTTTAAGTTGACCATTATTAAACTCACGATGGTTTTATTTGTTTGACATATTTGTAAACTCGCAAATTGTTGCTTCGTATTATTAAAAATATAAAACAAGAGAAAAAGAGAGAAGTAATAATAAATCAAAGCGTTCTTCCTCGCGTGTGTGAAATTCTCTTCGCTACGCTGTATTCACTCTTGTTTAGGCGTAGCGATTGGTGTAAATATCGATATTTCAAAACATTTTCAAGTGCCATCAAATAGAATTGTTAGACGTTTGCTATACAAGGGCCTACAATCCCAGACCAGGTTCTCAGGGGTCAAATGTCAGCTTTGCAATCGCTTGCCAAATTTCGATTCACTTTTCGTCATTTTTTTTTTCACTCCCTCTCTCAAATGTGTAGTTTAAATCAGCACTGGCAATGAGCCAAATTACAGTTAAATTAAGAATATTATTTTCCCTTGCTTCAGCCATAAGCTGAAGATTAAATATGGAACAAAATTCTACTTTTGTATTACGTTTCGCCGTCATGTAAGTTTTCCGTAATAATTAAAAACTAAATGTCCTCTTATATTAATGTCACAAGAGTTTACAAATGCTGTTTTAGTCAGTGCAGATTCTTAAACGGTTAAACCAAATCTGCCAACTCGCGTCTAATTAGAAGAAAAACATTATTTTTCTCAATTAATTTTCCGAGACGTGTGACGAGGTTTCGCGATAAGACAAATATGAAGATTATACTTCGCTTGTCCATATCAGCTGATATACAAGTATTTAGCGGGTGATACAAACGCTGATGAAAATATTAGATATGCTAGTTCATGTACTCATACGGCTATAACTTTTTAATGCATTTATTATAATCTCACAAATTTAAAGCCTGTATTTGTATGTTATTCAATTACACCTAACACTTCCGTGTGGAATTCATACCAAAAACTATTGGAAATGAATATAAAAATATGCAAATATGATATTCGAATTGTTGTCAGTAAGGTACACGCGGTTCTGTAAAATTTCTTAACGAGAAAAAAGTAATCATCTTTATTATCATTTGCATTATCGCTGTATTATTCGTGGTGAATTGGCGAGGCAGGGATTTCTTTTGTTTGTTAATTGGCAAACGATTTTATTTAAAAATCATGTTTTTTTTAAAATTTGATATTATGATGTCTTTGTACAACAGATATCTGTAATAAATCAAAGGCAGACAAAATCTACACACGAACAATTACAATGAAATTACGATTGACTGAAATTGCAATGCCAACCGTACTGTTACGTCACTTCCGATTTCAGACATTTTCAGCTCTCCACTGTCATTGAAGAGTAAAGAACGATGTTACAGCCGGCCAACATAAAATACAGCGGATTTCTAAATTCGCATTAAGGAAAGTGGGTAATGAATACGATCTAGGTACATAACAAATTGCAAATAAATTTCAGTTCCCTTAAATTGATAAGAAATGTCGACCCCCAACAACGGAGCGTCCTTAAATAACATGACCATCAGAATTGCTGCATTTTTTACCTGAGAAGAGAATAATTCGTTTAAAAACACTCTCACCGACCGCGACTTTCGGAGACCATTTCAGCAACTTTTAGAATTTGTTTTTATCAATATTAGAATCTTCAAGTGGCACTTTTTATCGGTGCTTCCACCCAACGGATGAACCAAATTCTTGCCACCGTCAGCAGATTCTTTTTACTGTCCCCTCGGCAGTCAAGCCGTTCGACTTCGCCAGTTACATCACGTGGCAGACATACCGTGTAACAAGGGTTCACAAATGGCGGCTCGCAGACATACAAGGGCTCGTGAGACGATTTATTATATCGTATGATAAAAACATTGCAATAAAATATTGATATTTAAACACAGATATTAGATTGACTGGCTTGGCGTTGCACTACCGAAATTGGATTCCTAGAACGGACTGCGGACGTGAAGTTACGAGGCATGAAGGTGACAACTCACATCGAAACACACGAATGCGTGGAACTACGCCTCCATTACTCCAAATACCTGTATGACACTGTGGTTAATTCACCGTTTCTAAGTTGTGGACACCCCTGACTATGAAATCATCAACCCTTATATGCATCCCTCTAATACAGCGTTTCTCAACCTATGGTACGCATACCACTGGTGGTACGCGAGCCAATTTTGAGCGGTACACGAACTAAGTAAGAAAATCAAAAAATAATATTAACATAAATAAGTTTTCCCTGAACGTATTTGGTTAGTGGTACATTTAATTATAATTAGTGGTACACAAGCGAAAAAGGGTGAGAACCCCTGACAGCGTTTCTCAACCTATGGTACGCGAGCCAACGTTGAGTGGTACGCGAACTAAGTAAGAAAACCAAAAGATAATATTAACATAAATAAATTTTCCCTGGACGCATTTGGTTAGTGATACATTTAATTATAATTAGTGGTACACCAGCGAAAAAGGTTGAGAATATATGTTTTGTTTCAGATTGTTTAATGAAGCTGTTTCTACTGCAGTGGAAGCTATCAGTAACTATCAGATACTCAATGAATTTCTTATCTTTCCTGAAACAAAAGATTTGTTACCCGTCCTGAACCAATTGAATACAATCCACCCTTTCACCCTGTGTCATGAAAATCGGTTTTAATACCATCCACGTTCTACGTCTCGATCAACCCGAGTGGTCTTCTCCAGACAGGTTTTAAATACGTACGTATTAATTTGTCCTAATCCATGCCACATCAAGTCTCCTGCTCCTTTGTTTGGTCACCCTAATAATAACTTACGCAAATTATGTAGACTCTCGTTGTGCAATTTTTATCGGTCTCCTGTTAATTCCGCTTAGTTATACTGCTCATAAACTCGTATTTTTATATTATATTATTATGTTAATTTTTACGTGTCCAGGTCATGAGAAAGGTATACAGAGGAGTCTGAAACTAAATATAACAGGCAGTTACATCTACATTCTAATTTTATCGCGAATATTTATTTGTTATCGTCTCGAGATATTTCAACATTGCCACACCTTTTGGCAGTTACTTTTTTCGACATAATCACCTTTCAGTTTCGTCCAGTTTACGTCATGTTCTAACTAATTCCCTTCCACTGAATCCATCAGCGGGCCACAGACGGAAATAATTAGGATAAAACTTTGAACTTCCTCCAGAAATTTGTTCCAGAATAAAACCTCGATATTGCAAATGTTTCCAAAGAGATATGTACCTGTTTCGATACCATCAAGAACTGACTTCTGCTCTACTCACATATGAGCATGTTCAAACACAGCAGAAGGCCTTCATCGAGTCTCAGAATTTGAAACGCTTTCTGTAACAAGAATGTTGAGGTACTTTAATGCAACAATCACACCTCGTATAACATCAAATGCAAGATGCATGCAACGTGGATTGTGTCAGGTCTTATTTCTTTCCAAGAGCCAACAGCGCAAATAATTCAGTTCTGGAATTTATTTTACTTTTATCGTCTTGTCAACGCCAGAAATATTTCCTATCTCCACGCTCGCTAGAGAGGCTGGCGTTTGACGTGTGACAACTTTATTTATAAATGTAATGATGTGTTCATAATGCGGTCAAATGAAGCAGACCCGATAATTAGAGTCGAAACATTAGGTGCAATGTTTCAACAAAAACTGCATGTGGATTTTACCCACTGGGGTCTAGATTTTATTTTTTATATACATTGATATGAAATTATGTTTCATCTGTAAACCACTTGACATACAGAATCCCACGGAGTTACATAATTTATTACTGAAATGACACAGAAAAATGCACAAATCTTTCGTTGTCCACGAGAAGAAAATCTTGAACCACGTGGTAATAAGAATTCATTTTTTGGCAACCGTCTCACAGGTGATGTAAGCTAGTCGGGTCTCTTGGAAAGAATGCCTGCCTGCTGAATTGGAATGTGCTTCCATTTTCCACGTCCTCTGCCGTCTAATCGAGTAATTTTATGTCGATTCACGAGACTTCACGTCATACCCAATTTCTCGACGGCGTTGACTTGTTCTGAAGTTTCTAATGCCTACCTCTGTTTCCGAACCAAGGACACGCGCTAATACGACTGAACAAGCTCATGTCTCCACCACGAGGACGAAATGCAGACTGAGAACCGTACAGCAGTGACGAAATACAAGAACAGGTGGAAGAATCCATTTCATTTCGAGGGGTGACGCGACACAGTTTCAAGGACGAATTTTGTAAGTACCTACAACATTCGATCACTATCGGTTCATAAGCAGTGCTAACCTGGGCTCTACATAGACGACCACTCTGAATTACTCTGTGTGTTAATTACAACTTATTATCGTTACTTCCTCGATGAGGTTTCTTACGCGATTATCGGTCGTATGGGATGTAATTATGATTTTGAATTATATAAATTTCGTGGAAGGTAATTATCGTGGCCTATTATAAGGTACTACTCCAGGAAGTCATTGAAGGAAATGGATAAAATCTTAATTTTTCTTTGGCAGACGAAAACCGACCGAGAATCGAGTCTGGAAGCCCTTAATACGACGCGCAGTTGCTAACCACTGCACCAGAACGTGCGATAAGAAAATGCTGAAACCTCCACGGTGTGGCCCTTGTTCATGAAAGTTGTACATCAGATGGAAGAGATTTATTATCAGGTCGCACCATCAGTAGGCGAAGCGTGTACCGACTTGATGGATGAAGGTGACGTCACATCAGTACGGGAAATAGAAGACAAGAAAAATGAAGGGAGAGTAGCCGAGAAAGGAAAAAAAAAGGTTAAGGTGTTACGCGTGAGGACGTGAGCCTACATAACGCCATTTTTTAAACAATATCAACATGAAGATGGCTGTCTTGTACGTTGTTACGCTTTGTAGTCTTGTGAGTAACGACCGACGTTGTAGAGGTGCTTCCTGCCTCCATCATTAGTACCTCTGAAACGTCGGTAAAATTCTACCAACTACACGGCTCGAACACCTAGAAGACAGCCATCTTTATATTCGCCGCCGAGAGAAAATAATATCTCACTCAATATGAATGCGTTGCTTACAAGGTGGAATGTCTGAACATGTATTACAGGGGCCAAGAATTCCATTCGACAACCTTTTCTCTGAAGACTATCGTTGTTGATTCGTAGGCTGCAGTGGCGAAGGAAACTGTACAGATGTCCCAAAAAGATACATCGCTGCATTCAATGAATGAAATAAAGACATTTTAATAATGTAATAATAGGTGTGAAATTTATTAACAGGGACGACCATCAGCTTATCTAGAAGAACTCTACTCCGCACGAGACAGCGTGATTCCATAAGACTGCCCAGGAAGATGATCAGTTACCATAACCAATCAAAAATAGTTGATTACGGAAATAAGTAGGCGGGCGAAACGAAATATAAAAAGAATTAGAAACAACCAAGAAAGAGAAGAAGACGCATGGTACCACGCCCGAGACACCACGAGCCCGCAAAGGTCAGCTAGTTTTGATATCACTGGCATTTACAAGGGTCTCTCGTTATGTTATGCTTACATCTCCTAAGTTGTTTATATTGTAGGCGCGTGGAGGAAATGGAGTGACAAATGCCACTCCATTAAGCCGTCAAATTCAGGCAGACTATTTGCTACGCAAGAATTGGTTTAACTTCATCATATAAAAGGTCTCAGCAGCTTCCTTAATGTCACCAGGGTCGCGCTGGGATCCGACACCACCTTTGGAAAGATGCCACACTTCTCACTGCAGGTGGGGCGGCTGGAGACCTGCCAGCCGAAGCTACAGCCCTCACAATGCTTAATTCATAATTCTCACCAACTGCAAAATAAAAATGTTTTGTTCTGCCATTTTGAGACGAGGTAGTGAATACGTTGGCACGCCGATAAATTACCATAGACACAGTCTAAAGGGGACGACTGAAGTAACATATGCCTGTAATGTAACGTGTTACAAATCGAGCATTACACAAGTGAAGACAGCGACCGGAGCCGCTCACGCTCGCGGGCGCTCCATCGTGTTGTCGGTTTTTTCGCGAATCCCTTTGAGTGTTACATTACAAGTCAGTCAGTCAGTCGAGCGGCGTCGTAACGAGCATTCACGAGTTCTTTAAACAACAGTAGCGTATTAAATGGAACAAAGATAACACAACCTCCATGTCCGACATATTGAATGAAATGAATGGAGCACACACGAGCACAGTCGAGCCGAGCGTTCAAAACTTGCATTCGATGCGCCAACTCAGTTGTGGTGTAATGTAACATCCTCCCCGCGAATGTTACATTACGAGTAAATGTTACAAGTCAGTCGCCACCTTAAGAGAGGCTTCTTTTCTATAGACCAGAGAATTGCTCAGTGAAAACGAAAGTGCAACTTGTTCATCTGTGGTGGGAGGTCTGAGAAATTTCTACTTAGTCCGTGGCTCTGCAGTCCTTGAACGGAATTTGCCGACTAATGTATGACGTTTCTTAAGTTATTTAGACATTTGATAGGACTTCTTGAAAGAGTGATGAGCCCGTTGCAAGGCCTGTACCCACAGAGGAAGCGTTCACTGCGACCAGCATCGTGTTTTTGTCTACTGTATAACACGTACACTTAAGAGATGTTGAACATAACCCCAAACATAATCGTCCATGACTGTGCAATTAGCCAAACGCTGACTGCTCATCTACAACAAAGTATCAAAGACTGCAAGACACTTTACTGGATTGCATATCAAATTGTGCAGGCATATCACTACAACTGTTGGGTTAAGTTAGTTTGGGTTGAACATGCATAAATGAGGTTTCAAATTGTGCTCTTACTAAGGTGATCAAATGAAGGATGGCAAGACCTTTGCATACATGAGAAGATAACATTACTTAAATGGATTTTAAAGAAATATGGAATGATTCCAGTGGCAGATCTTTTTACATAATAATAAACATTCTGGTTCCATAAATGTGGGGAAATTCTTGACCAGCTAAACTACTATAAATTTCTGAAAAATTCTGTTCACAGAAAGTTTATGTCAACAGCTGACACTAATATAAAAAATGAAATTATGGAAAGAATTTATCATGCTTTCCTCCAAATTCTTCAATCAGTACAAATTGGCAAGCAGGAACTATACATTAACAATTATAGAATTTAGTAATTAATTTTCCATGTACAATATTGTTAGTACAGTTTCTAATGTTTGATTTGTTCAACATAACATCAAAGTGTCATACTATTTCAATATTTGTCATTGCTAGTGCATAACATTA